ATCCCAAAAGAAAAACATGCCGTATGACCCTCCATGTTCCTAATGAATGCAAATAAGCTGACCTTTCTCTGACAACTATGAATATTGTTTCACAATTTTGCCATTGAAATTGCTGTAATCAGCAATTCATACAGCAGATATGGAGCCAATATTAGTTACAAATAACTGTTAATTACAAAATGGTGCATTGTACAGTTATCACGGTGAACAAACTTTATGATTTGGGGAATCAGTTCCTCTAGCATATTTTGTTGAATAAGGCCTTCGAAGAAAACATGAATGCTCTCTTTACTTACATATAAAAAAATATTTTATTATTGAATTACTCTGTTTTTAATTCTTCTTTTTTATTGTCTGAAACACAAATACCTTCAAAACTTGATTTATTACTTTCTAACAATAATACCTTTTTTATAAGAAGGTCGGTGAAAATTAAATGAAATGCAGATCACAGTCAAAAATATAAAAAAACAGGATTCTGCTTTTAAAAGGGGCAGTATGTCCATGAAAATACAGTATTTCTCATGCAATGATATAATAAAACTGTGAATGAATACTATAGATATGAAACAATGAGCTACTGTAGTACTTCTACATCTAGTATTTATTTCTCATAAATACTTTTCAAATAGTGCTGGAAAAATTAACGTATAAATTAAAGCTATAGCACATTTTTAACATCTATTTTAAAATGAAAAGCCCATAAAGGTTTAGGAGGAATTGAAATCTGGAGCACTTGCAATAGATCATTCTAGTTTCTTCAAAACATTAGAAATGTCTATGAAAATGCTATTTAGAAGAGATTTGAAGAAATTATACTTACATTAAACATCTTAATTACAGATGTATGTCAACTTCAGAAAAAACAACAGGATCAAAAAAAAAAAAGAGAGAAACAATGAAATGTTCTGGTTTATCATGTCTATTTGATAAAAAGCTTAAAATGCATATGACTGGAAAGTACCAGACTCAACTGAATATGAATTAATTAATATGCTTAAAAGTCTCCTTGTTTTGAAGACAGAAGTTATTCAATTCTTAGAAGTAATTTCAGTAAAATTATTAGTTCTCTTTGTCTTATTTTCATATTTTGCAATAACTACATTTCTGATTTAATAAGCTTTCAATGCTCAGATGTCATAATAGAATATCAGCTGATGTCATGTTCGTATAATATGTGTGATATTTTAAAAGAACAGTCCTTTCTTGATGACATTTCCTCAAGATCTCTACTCTCATACTTGTAATACTTTCATGTTCAGAATGAATCCCTGCTACATCTCACTCAATATTGATCTTCAAGGCATTTCTCCCAATCCTTTTCCCAGTGTGGTCACTGAACAGTATAAAAGTTCAATAGGAAGATCAGCTGCTCATCCACTTTTTGCTAAAGCAATTTGTATTATGGATTTATTTTAGCAGTCTACAGTGGCAGTTGCTGTTTTTACTATTTAAATGCTTTGATTATCTGACCTTGCTTACTTTATCTTTTTAAGTGCTGTGCATGGGCTTTAAAGTTGATCAATAAATGGGGATTCCTCCACCACATTATGCTGAAATCAATCCTGATTCAGACTATTTGTATTTCACTCTTATGAGTCCATCTGTCTTGCTTAATTTTATATTCTCTTTTCTTAAATAATTTTGCCTGCCACTGCAAATACTTACTGTCAGGTAGATTTCCGTTGCAATCAATTCACCTTTTCCCAGTAGTAACAATAGTGTTTGGGAAGACACAAATGTATAGGATCATATCCTATACGTGGACAGCCATCTCCTGTGTTATTGTTATTATTTAATTTATTTATTTAAGTATTTGTGTCACAGGTACTGTGTAAGTCAATAAACACAAATTTTCACTTACTTTGGGTCTCAATTTTTCCCACAATATTTAGAAAACAGAGTTTGTGGACTTCTTAACCATAGCTTTATAGTTTCATGTTTATAGTTTTATGTTGTCTGCATTAAAATCAAAATATAAAGTACAAGCTTATTAAAATTGTTCGTATTTTCATTTAATCTGAGAGAAACAGATAAAGTAATGAAGCCAACCAAACTTCATCCATGACACAGTAAACTTTAGAATTCTCTGATCAAATTCAAGAAATATAACTAGTCCTGAATTTGTGCAGTGTAAAATATTGCACTCTCCGAGAAACATCTTGTTATATATGGTATCTAATTTATTTAATATAGATAAAAATTTCAAATATTTAAAGTTTTGAACTTCTTACAAATTTTAAAATTTACCTTGCTTAATTCATAATTAAAAGATTATCACAGCTGTAAGAAGCCTTAGCATGGATATGTCAAAATAGAAAAAGAAAATGAAAGTAAATATAAAATCTAACAGTGCAGTTAACATGCTATTCATGGAGTTCTGAGCACTTAGGGAATTATCCACCTAGAACATATAAAACTTACTGAATTACTACTTTGATCTCATTTAAGCATCTCCACAAATGTTCAGAAAAAGAAATACCATTTCCCCTTTCTTCAACTAAATCACACGCGCACACACAAAACCCCCATTCATTTGGATTTACAATAAATTAATCTGAATTAAAATAGAGTCGGTCACTTTACTAATTTCCTGTAATGCTTATGTCATAATTTACTACTTCTGTAACAATGCATCACAACTACAAAATAATGTGAGATGCTTAAAACAGTTTTTATCTTCAATCTTGCAAACATGTGAACAGTTTTTCACATATTTTTAAGGTAACTGGTTTTGTGAGACTGCTGACATTCAAATGTTTGAAAGACTGAGGCCTAGAATGCCATTAAGATCTGATAATACTTTACTCAGCTTACTAGATAATACATTATCTTTCCTGCATAAAAAGAAACTTACCCGTTTCTTCAAATTTCTGGTTCTTCACCTGATTGAGACTATTTCTACTTATTCCAGGTTATTGAAGGTCCAGTGGACATGGAAGTCTTGAGAATATGCTATTATTCCTCTGACCCTGGTATTCTTACCTTAAAGTTCTCCACACTTTTCCTGATCTTTAAAGAGAAAATAGGAATTATTCAATTATAAATTTGACAACAGAAACAAGATGAACCTTTTGTAATGGCTGGGAGCATTTCTGCCTCAGTTGCAGCTCCATATGGTGCACACTGTGATGTCTCTCATGAGGGAGGAAGGACAAAAGGGGACATGACCACAAATATCTTAAACATTTATGTAATTAGATGATACTAATATTAACATAACTTAGAAAAAATAATGGGATGACAGAGGTATAAATCATATTAACACCAGTGATGATGGTGGTGAACACTTGGCCTATTTTGTGAAAGTAATTATCAAACTTATGTTAAAAACATGGTCCAAGTGAAAGTAAACACATAAAGTAGCTAATAATAAACAGTCACTAAATGAAGAAGAGCAGATCAGGATTTTCAGTGCTATTTGTGTATGTACATGTAAAAGAAATGGCTTAGGCATATAATGTAGAAAGTAGCCCATACTGAAAAAAGCAGCAAATACGCAACAGTTCCTTGCACAATGGCACAATGCCATTTTTGTTCTTTTCTGGATATGAATAATTTCAGAAATGCAAAATAATGGTTTCTAAGATTTGCTTATTTAAGACTTCAGTATGTATACTTATATTTTTTAAGTTATTGATTAGTAATTGTATTAAAATCCTGCCCTCTCAGTATTTTTATAAAGATTTTAATTAATGCAGAATGTCACTGAAAACAAATCAGTTTTTACTGATAATTCATTTCAGATTTTCAGGGGAAAATTCTGTCTTCTCCTTTTAAAATTCCACTAACCAGCAAAAGCACCTATTTCATTATGGAGCAAATTCCTTCAAGCACTTCTGGAATTTGTGTGTAAAGGGGGGGTTGCCTTTGTCATAATCTTGGCCACTTAGAAAATAAAAGTGAAAATGCAAAGGTGGATAAGAATTACTAGAAAGTATTACACAATAGCGTCTAATATATGATGGGGGGATGGTTCAATTTATGCAACACTTACTAGTATCACTTGTGAAGATTTTTCATTTTATTGTGACAGCAGAGGGGAAATTTAGAAGAATTCACTGTGCCAAATACATTTCTGCAGAGCACAGCTTAAAAAAGACAAGTCCATACTGTTTCCCTCAGGTGGGTAAATGTTAAGAGAGAAGAATCCAAGTTTCATGATGCAGCAGCACAAAGCTGGGAAGTGAAAATTATGTTGCAGCAGAGTCCTGAAAATATGACTGTAAAAGTTAATCAATAAAATGTCTATTCCTGTCTATTCACTAGAGGCCCCAGCTGCATAGCTTCACACAATCGATACTACAAATTATTACGATTTCCAGGTTCCCACTGGACATTCTGAACAAATCTTTCAAGTGTAACAGGCTTATATGGGGGGGGGGGGGGGGGGGGGGGGGGCGTGCTTACCTTAGGTTTATTTCATCCAGGAAAATTAATACAACAAAGCTTGTGATTTCTAAAAACTTTCAGTTGTTTCCCTCTGAAATACCTATATTTTTGGCACCCTGTGAAATTAGCAGAAAATATTTTAATTCTATTTTGAAACTAAACATTTTTATTCTGGTAAACTAATGAGTATAATGGACCTATTATTGTTTTTAAATCTTAGTCAACCATTTATTTTTTTCACCACTTCCGGGAAAAATATGTTTTAATGTACAATTTAACAACAAGGAAATTTAAGCACACAGAAATGTACTTTTTCCCTCAAAGGCCCCACAACAGCTATATCAGAATATCAGCTCTCCATGTAGTTTTAACTGACCAGTTTATGCTGCACTGCATTTTCCTTTGTATGGTCCCATGCTCTCGCCTTGTTACCAGCTGCACTAAGTAGGAAGGTAGGTAAAGTCCAGGACTGTGTGACTTTGAATAAGTCAGCACCAAAGGGATGCTACTTTACAACACATACAGTACCCTTCATAGTGACTGAACATAACCCTTATGACATTCCCTGTCCCAGAAGACCCAGGGGACAGAGATCCATTGTTCTTTCTGTCTCCCAAGGAACAGAACAGAGCAGATACCAACTGGCACAGCATGACTGTTTTCAGGTACACAGTAAATTTTTGTTTTAAAGGGGAATTTCAATATTTAAAATCTCCAACATTGTTGTTTTGTTTTTAGCTTTGTAAGTTCAACTTTATTAAAACTATTGTTTTAAATATGCAGTTTTAATTTTCCAGATTCAGCAAATAATTAGCTGGCTGTGTTCCTGCAGTAATGAGTCAGAGTACTTTTAAAAAGCAATGATATCAAAAATTCAGGGTTGAAAAACTTAACCTAAGAGTCAATAACAAATAATTTTTATAATCTATAAAACTAAGAAAAGATTCCTCTAACTCAAAGTTTATTATGCTTATGTACTAAAGTAGCAAACATCCAAAGTCACTGAACAAGTGTAGAAAATAAAACAGAAAAAGGTTGGTTAGTTAATAATTTTTGTATCTTAACAGATTCATTCAAGTATACTTTGTTCACACAAAGCATAATATAAAACTATAAAACAAGTCCCTCTGAAAGTCATCTGACTATTATAATTTGGCCTTCTATTTCAACATTAGTGAAACTAATTTAATCGAACTTCTGCAGAATTCCTGCTCTCTCAAAAGCAGTATTTCATCACGCAATTGATCAGTTACAGCTGGGAGTTTCAATCCTCCCCCCCCTTCACTATCTCACACTAAGTTACTAAGAACCAGTAGTCCTAGAAGTTTGTAACCTTTTTATTTTCAAATAAGTATCTACAAAAGTTGGCATAACATGGCATTGTGGCAACTGAGGAATCACTTGAAATGGTTAAGAAAACCCATTGTGGCAAAAGATTCAAGATGGGTTAGGAAAGTAAATCAGTGACACTGTTCTCCCTAGAGAAGTACTAGTAATGTCTTTAGAGATATAACTACAGGTTGGAAACCACCAAGCTATTTTATTTAAAGAAATGAAGACACATTACTGAAGACAATGTTTTTTTCCATGCAGCTTTTCCCAGTCTTCAGCAGAAAAAATAACTTAAAACATTTGAATTACAGAAAGGATGAAGTTCCAGTCTAAAAATCATTTACACTGAACATATATTATCATGTTTTGATTTTAGATGCATGATGTTTATTGCATCTGAACTTAGCAAACCTTCTCTCAGAGATTTGTTGAGATAGTCATTGATGCTTGCCACAAAATTGAGATATAACATTTAGCTTTTAATGTTCAGTCCACCACCAAATGAATGGACTTCTTTTTGCAGCCAACCTATAAAGAATTCATCATGCTCTGTGATATTACAAAACAGCTTGGGATTCTGTCTGTATGCTTAATAATTGTTTAATATAACATAACTTTAGTAAAAATAGAGTAACTGTTTTCATAAAAATAGAATCATCTGAAACTAAATCTTGAAAAATCTGAATAATGAATCAGTTTGTGGCTCAGTATAAAAATATAATTATCATCAAGCTAATTTATAAAAGTTTGGTTGAACATCGATACTTTTTAATTAAATCCCAAGAGTTAGCATGCAATCTAATAGATACTAAATTTGGCTGATGATAAGAGCAGAAGTACTTTTTTCAGTCTAAACTTTTCTAAAGTATACAGTATGCATTTTTTTTCCTGTTTTCGTTTATGTTATCAACCTCATATGTGCCTTGTTGTTGTGACTAAAAGTTCAAACACCAAATTGCCTTTAATTTGGTAGTGTCTTGCTTAGAGGCAGCTTCTTTAACAAAAAAGGAAAGACAATAATACCCATATGTAACCTTCGGTCTCTAAGAAGAGGAAGATGAGAATGCCATTAATAAATAGGTAATAAATAATTACACATACTATTCTACTTCAACACTACAGAATGTTTTTAATTTTAAAAATAAAACGGACAAATAGTAACAGTATTTTTTCAACATTCATTTTTCTAGGTGTAGAATATATTTTAAAGCATACATTAATCAATCATTTAGATTTAGTAGTTTATTCAATAGAGTTATAGAACACATTTACAGTACATCTTACCTGAGAGAAATGATTAATACAGTACATATCAAAAGGATTTACTGTTGACTTTAATGTCTTCTCTTTCTTGAATACTGAAAAAGCAGTAACTCACTTGTAATCACTAATTTCTTCTTCAGAAGTTATATACGTTCTCTCAGGGTCTTCAGCTCTGTCAGTGATTTTCTACTGTTCTGTTCTTGGCGAACTGTTTCTGCTATTTGCTCACTTAGCTGCTCTTGAGTTGCTTTCAAGCTGGATTCCATTAGAAGAAGTTTTTCATCTTGACTGGCAAGTTCTTGGGCTGAAAGATTAAAAAAAAAAAAAAAAAAAAAAAAAAAAAAAGCAAGCATTATATTTTAAACCTAAGCCGAGTGATATTTTTGTTTTAAATGTAATGAATGCAGTGAAACCCTCTGTAAGACCTGGGCAAATATTGTTTTCAAAAGAGCATCATTTAGTTTCCAGATCTTTAGATGAAAATATACCATAAATATATTAATAGCTTGCTTAAGTCTCTTTCACTGTATTCCAATAAACTTAAATAAAGAAACTTGGACTCAATATTCTTCAAACATCTAAACTGCTACCAAATCTTACTGTATATACACACATTCAGTATTTAGTTCATTCTAAAGTAAACACCCATTTCCTTTGTATTTCACAATGTAAGTCAATCTAGAATTCAGAATCACAGTTTTGAAAATATAACAGCTTTTTTACCATTTCACAATTGCAACATATATAATTTAAGCTCAAAGTCTTCAATTTCATTACGATTTTTCATGAATTACAAAGCACATACATAGTAAAAACCCATTATTTTCCAAGGTCATCCAATAGATGGCAATCTTTCCTTAGACCAAAAGAAACCAAAGCTGTACACTGCCAGCTCTCAGAAAAATAAGTGATTTAAGACAAAGACATTTTTCCTTTGTTCTTTGTTGACCATTTTCCTAAAAGCTATATCTACATAGCTTTTAATTTAAATATTTGACCCTTAGTGTGTGCATGCATGAGTCTGTGTGGGTGTGTGGATGTATGTGTACCTACACAGACACAAATCCACACACATATATTTGGTTTTATACTCTTTCATAAATATATTGCTTTGGGCATATAGGTACATATAGTTATGAGGTTTAAGAGATCGTGGAATAAAACTAATCATTAAAACAAGTGCTTCACAACAAGCATTTTATAGCACGCATTCTCTTTACTATATAGCATTCAAATTATTTTGAAATTTAACACCAGAAAATTTAAGAAATGAAAAAGCTTTTAGTGATAGCAGTTCAGTATCATAACAGAGGAGTTCACATGATCATAAATTAAAAAGCCCTTTTTTTAGTGTGCTGTAGTATAATTTTAAGGTGATAAGTATACCAGGATTCAACGGAGTCAGAAAACAGTATTTTCCAGGCTTAGATGGATAGAATCCTTTAAAGAAAAACATTTTTGCTCTGTTAACATCGTTCTGTATTTATTGTATTTAATGTCTGACAATGTTCACCATATGCACAGGGTCTAAATTCAACTATCGTATCTACCTTTATGAATGCAGAATATTCAGAAGATCAATTTCTTTATATAAAAATTTGCTTTGTTCTTCTCTCATTGACAGTAACAGAACTCCACTTCTCACAAAACACAACAGTCACCATTTCTGTAAGTAAAAAGTACGGTATACAACCTGTTTAAATTTGTGCTTCAGGAAGGTATACAGCTAATATTAACAGCTAAGTGTTTAACAAACAGTCCATATCACCCACAGCTCATCTTTACTAAGTATCAAGCAAACCCGAATCTCTTCAAACTAATGAGCTAAATGGTTATTAATGTCAATACATCTTTAAAAAGAAAAAAAAAAAAAACAACAAAAACAAATCAAAACAAAACAAAACAAAACAATATAAAACACATAAACCCCCACAAAACGTAGTTTAATAAAAAACTTATAACAGGCTTTCTTTCACATCTAGATAATAAGCAATTTTGGTATAGACAAGACTAGACTGCCATAATTCAATAAGAAATATAACAAAATTTTATTTGTGAGTGCAGTTTGGACCCATTTCTGCAATACATCTGTACATAACTTTCCTGTGGTAGATGTCCTCATTGAAATCAGTATGACTACTTATTTGAATAATGTTAATTAGCTGTGGGCTCCTATAGTTTGATCTGTGTTTGAAATCAAAAGCAGGGTAAATATTTTACATATAATACTTAACTCCTCCATTTAAAGTTTTTCAGCTGTTGATTTTTTTTAATGTAGAATATAATCTTTTGTATGGCAACTTAAGTTTATTCAAATTTCAGGACTTATTAAGTCACTGTCAATTTTATTTGAAATGGCATTGTCTGTATGATCCAGAAATGGATCTTTAACAATACTTTAAAAGTTCTTAGAAGTAGTTTAAGGGTGTGATCTATTGCCTGGAGATGGATTTATCTTTCAAAATTTATTTTATTTATATCAGTTTTGATTTGTAAACAAATCCAACAATGCATATTTTGTAATTGGCATAACTATTTAAACATACAAAAGGTTATTTAATCACGATTTTTAATAGTCTGTTTTAACTCACAATGTCCTGGTAAAAAAGGGTTAAATTATTTTAAGTTTACCTATGCCTTGGACTTGAGCCTTGGTTGATCCCAAGCCAGAGGCGCTAGCAGCTGCATGCTTTATTTACAATCCCTTTGTCAGACTTACAACTGCCCCAGGCTATAACATAGTGTACCTAATGTTCAAACTGGCAGGTAATCTTATGTCAAACATACTTCTTTGATTTAAAGTGATCAATAGATTCTTGTAAAGAGGTAATTTCTCTGATGTTTCCACCTTGCCTTTCTTACAGGTGATTCACACAAAAGCCTGCTTATATGATGTACGAACAATAAACAGAAAGCTATAATCATGTTTTTTCAGATGTTTCCGGTGCACAACGATTTTGGATCAATACCCTGTGTAATACAATTATCTGCAATGATCTGGTTGTATTGAAAAAGAATTTGCAGCAGACCTCTAGGGGGTTTTATCCAGAAACACGTATCTGGCAATGTTGTGAATAGTGGAAGAGAAAATTAAGGGGTTGACACAGGCTGTCTATTATGTTCCAAATGACTTCATTAATATTTTATTTGCTAAAAGTAGTATATTTCAAGCTCTGCTATACTGTGACTTCAAAATATTAATAATGCAATTTCCTTGTTGCATTTGCTTATTTTGAAAACTAGTTCTAGCACAGATGTTCAGCGTAAAAGTCAAAAGTGCCAACCAAAAATTATTTAAGCAGTTTATTCCCCATAATTGAATGATTGCTTGGTTTTTGTATCTTATTTTGCTTTTGTGAACATTATTCTCTTGAAAAAAAATCTATATTCATTAGTGCGCTACTACTAAAGCTGTTAACTTATCTATACTGGGGATTAATCATATCAGTTTAAAAAGTCACCTAAAATATTAACAATGATATCAAACTTGTTAAGTTCAAATTACACTTTGCATTACAAGTGATTAAGCAGGTGTTCTGGTAGAGAAATAATGTTTTAACAAATTAATATCAAGATTATAGAACAGAGATAGCAATTTTTAAAAAATCAGTTGTGTTTAGTTTTTATGAAGTTGCAGTCTATAGCTGTAAATTTACCCTAAAGCTGAACAGGGAACCTTTTACATGCATTTGATTACAACAATCACATGCCCAGATGATTGAAAATTCTTTTCCATTAGACTGTACCAAATGCACATTTCCGTAATATTACTATTTTTGTACGTTATTACCTGTCTTTCTGTACTGCTTATGCACACCCTGCAGTTACTGATTTAGCTGCTGAATCTCAGTTCTCAGTATGGTGGTTTCTGCCTCTGTCTGATTCTTTTCTTTCTGTGTGTCCTGGATACTGGCTTTCAGTTTCTTGACCACACTGTCAAGGTGCTCCACCTCAGCCACTTTTCCTTTGATACCTTCCCTTGCCTGCAGGAAATCATATTCCGACTTTCTCAGAAGGTCATCTCTTTTGCGTATTGCCTGTGAAGACAAAAAGCATTCCAATGGTGCCTTTTATGATGTACTTTTTATACCGCATCCTGCTATTTTGAGCTATAGGATATGTGAGATTATACAGCACCTCATTAGCAACTGGGTCAAGTACCCACATCTCCTCTAGGATCAAAAAGTTACAAGGACTTTAATTTAAAAAAGTCTGTTGAAGAAAAGATTCAGTATTACAATAAATACATCATTAATCAATACTTATATGTTCAAAGGCAAGAAGAAATATTCCACGTAATTCTGAGAGAAAAGCAGGAAATGTTGTTTGATCTAAATGAATGCTTTTCCTTTTTTTTTTTTAAAAAAAAAAAAAAAAAAAAGGTTTGATGAAGCTAAAAAAAAAAAAAAAAAGGAGGGGGAATATTTAACCTCTTGGTGCCAACTGCTACAGAGCTCTTTCATTTGGCACTCGGGCAAATGCTGTAGGTTAATGTGGCCATGGGGATATCCCAAAGCCGTAGGAAAAAAGCTACCATGATATGTTTTTTTCCTCATTGTGTAAACTTCTTACCTGTGTATAACTATTGTATTTAGATTCTGTTTTGTTACTGTTTGAAGAAGCCACATACAACTTGGACTTTGGATATAGAAGAGCCCTTTCCCTTAAAATACAGTGTCATGGTTTTATTTTTTATCTGCACTGTCCTTAAGAACATGCTGTAAGTTTGTAGGTATGAGATTCATATCAATCACTATTGAGTATTCATGAGTGACTGTGCTTTATTGGCTTGATGCCACACCTTGATTCTCTATCATGCTCCATCATGCTTCTTTTAATCTGAATATTTAGTACTCTTTCATGTCTTAATTACAGCAAATTGCGCACAGTTGGCACCATTTCTTGAAATTAATCCCAGAGTACTTTGTTTCTGTCAAGCACAGTCAAAGCCTTAGAGAATAATAGTAAATGTTATTGCAGATCTAAATTTAAATGACTGTCTATGTATTTAACTTAAGCCTTTAATTATTCGTGCTGTACTGTTTTTGGTTCAAATGTTAAACATTCTTTATTGAGAATGTAAAATTGTTTCAGACAGCTTGAAACCAGTGATGTTAACATGACAACAATTATTTGTATTAACATATTTTTTCAGGTGTGTAAAACTTAATAGACAGAATATAATATCCTGCCACAGTAAAATGTTTCCATTTCTTTCGGATTATTCAGTAAATAATAAAATGGTTCTAATTATGAGTAACTGATTGTTGGGGGGTTAATTCCCTTCTGTTGTTCTTTCCTGTTTAACAAAAAAAAAAAATTAGAAATCAAACCCTCAACACTTCTTTCTCATTAGCTGATTTATAAGCTGTCTGCAGACAGACTATACCTTGTATATCTCTTTCTGAAAACCACTTAGAAAATTCAGGAGATGTTGATTTTTATTATTTTCAGTACACTAATGAAAAAAAAAAAATTTTTAAAGGATGGAAACAATTAGAGTAACCTACATGTAGTCATTGCTTGTACTTGTCAAAGTTCCCAAATAAGTACAAATTATTTCTTCTCATTGTGTAGTTTAGTGATAGGGATATTATGTTATTAATAAAGCCCAAACCTTTTCAGCTTATGAACATTTTTTGTGCTGGAGCATTCATAGACAAAGGTAAAAAGAGTAAATAAAACTCTAGTCCTGTGTACCTTTTATGCCAAGAAAAAGTATGACAAGGTAGATTTCTGACATTAAAAATGAGTATGAATGGGATTTGCTGTTAAAATTGGCAAATGCATTTATAAAAATATCTACAAACATAACAGAAGAAGTCATATCTGTATTCGTTTTATTTTTATCAGTATGCATTATGACAGCATTGCTATCACAAACTCTAACCTATCTTGAATTTAGAGACAAACACCAGAGAAATATATACTTACAAAATTTGTGATAAAGGAAATTTTTCTCTAGAATTCATAACAAATATGTATGAAGCAGTGTATGCTCAGCTCCTTCACATTCTGTTTTGCAATGTGATTTCTAAAGAGATAGCTGTTTTGCTCATTCTCATAGCAAAATCATACCTGATCTTTTGACTATAAAGTTTCCTGGCATCTGTAAGGTCTCTTTCAAGCTGTGTTATCTGCTGTTCTAGCTGAGCAAGTTCCACTTTGTGTTTCTGCTAGGAAGCTATTACATCCAGATGCAGTGACTGTAAGGTCTTGTCTAGTTTTTCAATTTCAAGAACAGATTTTTTTTTTTTTTTTCCTGTTGGTCAAGTATATTAGCAGCTTCAGCTTTTTGTTCCTGTATGATCTGCTCACATTCTTCAACTCTGGAGGATTTTTCATTATATTGATTTTTCAACATCACAAGCTCATGTTTTAAATTAGAAATTATTGTACATTATACCAGATGTCCTGATTCAGTTATCTATCATTGAAGAAACATAAATTATAGCTCCATTTCCATATTTCAAACGCTGAACATGTTGTTACTTATGATTTGTATTTTATTTTCAGTGAACAGAAATATTTGAAAAGATTTACTGACTTTATATGTAAAATAAATTTTTCATTTGTAATCCTAAAAAGCAGAGTTATATCTTCATTACATGTAAAGACACAATTAGATAATAATGCTATTATTCTAACTCCAAAAGCCTATATAACTACTTGATTAATTACATTTAATTCTGGTTGAGCTAGTTAATGTATGTGATTCTGCAATATATTTACTTATCTTTTCTAAAGATCCAAGTGCATAAAACTTTACATGAGATGTCCACAGTCAGATTGATATCTGCCAAATCAGACTGAAGTTGAAAGATGACATTCTCTTTTTCAGAAATCTTTAAAAAATACAGGACACATTCTGATATGTATGATATAAGATAAACTGGTAATTAAATATAGTTAAAAATTACAATGCAGGATTCTGATTCTCAGAAAAAAATACCACATTTTGAAGACAGACAATTTTATCCTTGAGCTTTGGAATTCAGTTCAGTTGTAAGGATGTTACTGTTGTTCACTTTTAGTGGTTTGGTAGTCAACAATCTGTCCAGTAAACATCATATAATAGAACAGTATATAAAACCTACATATGTCAGAGAGAATAGAGCCTCTAAATAAGCACATATATAAGCATAGTTGCAGGTATTTCATTGTCATGTTTAACGTTGCTCCTAATCAAACTCTTCAGTTACTATGAATGTAAATCAGATTTTGAATGTCCTAGCTATGAGGCTCCTTAAATAAGAAATAATTTTATTTCTCTAAATGTTCAGTGATTAAACATGGGTTTTAGTCTTCTTGCTTTTTTAATATTGATATTACTTTAAGATAAGTGTTTCCTACTTCCCTATTTATTAAACATAAAAGTGAAAATATTAACCAAATACATAAATGTTGTACCTCTGCTAAAAGACTCACCATTTCACAACGTTATAGTTAAGACTGAGTTCCTGCTAAAAAGGACGACGTTAAAGGAAACTCAACCAGCCATCAAATTAGCTAACCCAGATAGCTGATTTGTATGCAATTTAGAGAAGAAAACAAGTTTAAAGACAACCAGAAATAACTCTCAGATTATTTCCCTAAATTTAATAATTGATTTTTTCAGAAAAGATGGACATCTTTCCTATGGGAGACCTCTCCAGATCTTCTCTTCAAACCTGGGACCTCAATATCGGAGTTTCTAAGAATTTAGAATTACCTCTGTTTTTTATGACCACTTCCTAAAACAAATATCAGGGTATTTCCTAAAGCCTCTTCTGGGATCAACTGTTTTCTAGGTAGAGGTTTGACTATTTCTCCAACAAATTATGTGGCAAATGTCCCTCAACAAGCAATTTTTTTTTTTTTTTTAAGAGAAGTTCCAAGTTATTTGGTCATTTCTTTGAGATGTCATTTCTTTGAGTTCTTTTGAAATCTAACTCACTGAATTCCCTTTGTTCAAAGAACAGAGAGAGCTATGTGACAGAGAGTTTAAAAAAATAAATTTTAAGATTAATGCCCATTTATTGTTTATTCTTCAGAAGTGAAAACTTGTTAGGATCTATGACAGCATGTGGTATTCATTTATCCCTGAAAGTGGTTTGAACTCACTTTTAATAGCCTTCTTTTTTTTTTTAAAAAAAAAAAAAAAAAAACAAAACTACATTCATGAGTATTTAAAAGATGTCCACTTATATCTAATAAGTGTAAAACATGATTCTTCATACTCAAAATCATGAACTAACATTTTTAGGTTGAGAATGACATTTCTACCTGTTCTACAAAAAAAACAAAGAATTTCAAGTATTTCTTCTGTCCTATAGCTTCTCATCTAGCTGATATTTATTATTTAGATATACATTTAATTTAGAAATAAACACTTTGAGTGCATAAAGAATCTACTATGTCCCATGAATATTGGTCCAGTATTCACTAACATGCACTGTTAAAATAAAATGCTTTCTTTCTGATACAAATTTTTCTAGCTTTCTCTCTTGACGTCTTCATTGAAACTCATTGTATTCTG